ATTCACATTATTGCTGCCCTCAACAATCGAAGCGCCAGGCGAAGCACGGGGACCTTCTAACAAAATTATACCCTATTTGAGATTCTCACAGTGGTAACTACAAAGATGTAACGCCGTTTATTCTGGTATAAATTCATTGATGTTCTGTGTCGAAGAGTAAACCAAGCAAGAAACCCACAGTGAGAATATTTTCTATATTATTGAATTCGACCCTGAAGACGGAGTCAGTACCTTCCTCTGAAATGTCGTGGGTTTCTAACCGATTATACGGCGTTACATACCAGAAAGTTAGAAATCCTCACAGCCTTGTTCTTCTTCCTCCCCATACTAAATATATATTTTCTCTAACATCTCCCGTGACTTTCCCCGTTTCACCTACTCTTCTGCTATGTTTTCTTGCTTCCCTAGCTCATCCTTCTGATGATTGCAAGGGTTGAACTGAACACACACCATGTGGCCTGACAGCATGAAAGTAATTCTGAAGTGGCTATTCACATGAAATGTTTTTGCTTCGTATACAGTAATTGTATAGACTGAGGGTGTTTGAGAACAGGGTGTTGAGAATATTTGGACCGAAGAGGGATGAAGTGACAGGAGGTTGGAGAAAACTGCATAATGAGGAGCTTCATAGCTTGTACTCTTCTCCAAGTGTTATTAGAATGATCAAGTCAAGGAGGATGAGGTGGGCAGGGCATGTAGCACGAATGGGAGATGCGAGGAATACATGTAGGATATCTGTGGGAAAGCCAGAAGGAAAGAGACCACTGGGAAGACCAAGGCGTAGGTGGGTGAACAATATTAAAATGGATCATAGAGAGATAGGATGGGATGGTACGGAGTGGATTGATCTGGCTCACGATAGGGACCAGTGGAGGACTCTTGTGTACACGGTAATGAACCTTCGGGTTCCATAAAATGCTGGGAAATTCTTGAGTAGCTGCAGGATTGGCGGCTCCTTCAGAAGGGCTCAGCTCCACGAGTAAGTAAGGAAGATACAGTAATTGTAGGGGCCTGGATAGCGCAGTCGGTATAGCGACTGGCTAAGGGCTGGGCGACCAAGGGGTCGGAGCTGGAGTCCCGGTAGGGTCAAGAATTCTCTATTCTCCACGTCGTCCAGACCGGCTCTGGGACCCACCCAGCCTCCTATCCAAACTGTACCGGGGGCTCTATCCCAGGGGATTAAAGCGGCAGGGGCGTGAAGCTGACCACTCACCTCCAGCTAGTGCCGAAGTCAAGAAAATGTGGCCCTATACATCCACTTCTCCATACGCCTTCATGACGTAGTGCTTAATTAGTAAAGCATAGGGACAAATTTACATTTTTACTTTATATAATAATAAGCATTGTTTCAAAGCACCACCACATGCAGACATGTTAAAAATATAATTTGTAGATATTTATGTGGCAGGCTATACGTGTTTTGCTTCACTTTGGAGATTTTTTTGTAAACTGAGCTGCTAGTATTTTTTGTTATTTAACTAGGATAAATAGGATAAATGTGAGAAATGAACAAGTGTTAATTAGAGTCGGTGAGCAGAGGAATATCCTACACGAAATAAGAAAACGGAAGGCTAATTGGATTGGTTATGTTTTACGCAGAAACTGCCTTCTAAAAGAAGTTATTGAAGGAAAGATAGAGGGGCGGATAGAAGTGACAAGAAGACGTAAGAAGATGCTGGATGACCTTGGGAACAGAAGAGGATACTGTCATTTGAAGGAGAAAGTTCTAGATCGCATTAAGTGGAGGAATTGTTTTGGAAGAGACTGTGGACCTGTCGTCTTGACAGATTACTGATGATGATGATGAAATAGCACTGAGTTAGTTAAAAATTAGTCCAGAAAGATTAGCAAGGAAGAAGATGTGGCCTATTTTAAAGTATTGGTACTGTATTTTCTTTGTGGGGCTAAGGGAAACCACTAGAATCTAATCTTGATACTTGACTTTCAGGACAATTTTGTGTACTTCATGCGAAGCTTGCGCAGTTGTTGCGAAATGCCGGTAGAAGTAAAAAACTGAGAGAAACGGGAAACTGCACGCCTGAGGGACCTCAGTTAAAGACGCGTTACACTTGCACATGACGGCTACCTGCTCTTTAGTTACGGACAGCATGCTGTGAATCCAGTGGACATCAGCTGCATAGCGGGGCAGTTGTTGAAGACTGGACAGAGTTCCGTTGCCACACGCATGGCTAGAATTTCTGTTGTAAAAACTCTCAAACGGTGTGATGGCCGGCCAACTGGGCATACAGACTATCAGTCACGCATTCAATTATTCAGTCAGTCAATCATACAAAATGTCATATATATCATATAATCAGTCAGCAGATTATTAAAACGGTCAAATATTCATTCAGCAATTAATTCAAATGTCAGGTTTTCTGTCAGCCAGTCCTTCAAATGATCAGGAACTTAGCCGGCTAACCATTCAGACGGTAATGTAGTCACTCAGTGAACCATTCGAAACAGTGAGATTTATTCAATCAACCAGTCACTTAAACATTCAGTCAGGCAGTCAGGTTATCACTCAGGCAGACAGTAATTTACTTAATCACGCAATTAGCGAGTCTCTTTCTTAATCATTTAGCCAGGTAATCAGTTATATGTACAGCTCGGAGGGTGGAACTGTGTTTTGCTTACGTATCTTAGCTTTACTTGAACACGACTAATTAGCCGTCGTTGATTCACTGTGTTTGTCAGAATACGGTGTGCAGCAGGAGCCGGGATGGCGTAATCAGTATAGCAAGTGGCTACGGGCTGGACGACTGAGGGGTCGGAATTCGAGTTCCAGTAGAGTCAAGAATTTTCTCTTCATATATCATTCAGACCGGCTCTATGGTTCACCCAACCTCCTATCCAATGGGCACCGGGTGCTCTTCCCCCAGGATAAAGCGGCTTGGGCGTGGAGCTAACCACTCACCTCCAGCTAGTGCCTAGGTCAAGAAAATGTGGATCTGTACATCCACTTCCCTATACGACTTCATGGCGCAGTGCTTAATTCGTTGAGAACAGGGACAGCCTTACCGTTTGCCTTTTACGGTGTGCAGTATATATATATCGTTCTGAAAAGCGTAGGAGCGATACAAATTCACATATTGTACCATATTTGGACCTTCATTCTTGAAACCCACCGTAGAGCAACATAACTATGCCTTCCATTATAGGACGAATATTGACACTTGCTATAGAATGGTAACGAGCCTTGAAAGCAACTTTATCATATATCGCTATGTCATTCTCTTAATCAGTTTAACAGCCGTTTGTTGGCAGAAGGAGGTGGTGTGGAGTTTACAATTTTGTTTCTGCTTCAACTCAAATGTTCGCACGAGATCCTTCTCAGGTTGTATAATGTAGTACTGCCGAAACGATTTCATTAATCACTTCAGGCGTGAAGATTTTGTAAGTAGTATTCATTAACGTGTTGCGTTCTCCAAGAAGTTATGTTTTAAGGGTGTATTCGTTAACAAAATATGAGTCCTCTACCCTTACCAAGGCACAGTTGCGCCTATGAGTTCCTTAACTGATAAGAATAAGGAGGAGTAGAAGTGAAAACAGAATAAATAATGTAAAAAAAGGATTAGGAAGTAGAGGAACACGAGAAGAATGGGGGAGGAAGAAGTGGAAGACGATAAATTGAATTATCATCCCTTATAGCATCCCCGGAGCCTAGGTACAACGACTGGCTACGTGCTGGAAGGTGTCGGAGATCGAGTCCCGGTAGTGGCAAGAATTTTCTCTTTTCCACGTCGTCCAGACAAGTTCTAGGGCCTACCCAGCGTCCTATCCAATGGGTACCGTGAACTCTTTTAACTGGCTTGAAGATGACCACTAACCTCCAACTAATGCCGAGGTCAAGAATATGTGGCTTCATACATCCGCTCCCCCATACGTCTTCATGGCGTAATGCTTAATTAGTTAAGCACAGGGACAAATTTATCTTTTGTAGCATCCACCTTTATGCATTGTTAGAGAATCCACATTAGCTGAGTCGAGTCTGAAAGAGTTAAGTTTATTTTTCGCTTGCGTAAGTAATACAGAAATACGTATGTTGAATGCTTATTTGAATGTGTAGTCAGGATAGCTCAGTCGGTATAGTGACGCAATGCGGGATGGACGGGGTTAGATTCCGGGCAGGGGAAAGATATTCTTCTCAATTCCACAGTGTCAAGACTGGCTCTGGGTCCCAACCAATCTCTTATCCAATGGGTAACTTGGGCTCTTTCCACTGGGGTAAAGCGACAGAAGCGTGAAGCTGAATTGTGGAGCTATATCTCCACTCTCCCATGTATCTTGGTGGCGTGGTGTTTAATTAAGTGTAGGGACAACTTTACTTTTTTACTTATTTTATACAAATAATTTGAAATTATAGACATACAAATTTTGGGGGAAATTAGAATGCGAGGGTAAGATACGGATGAAACTTGTTCAGGAACCCAGTAATCAATGAACGTGAAACATTTTGTAATTTGTCATTTCCTTGGCACCACAGCCCCAGTGGGCCTAGGCCTACCTCCATGAACTTCTCCGTTCACTTCGGTTTTTCTAGATCTTACACATTCGGTAGGACTCCTAGGGCGGGTGATTAGCTCTTCGCAAGGCCTCTACCTGTACACACACACACACACACACACACACAAATTAAACATCAATGCCCTGAGTGGGATTCAAACCCACGATCCCGGTTTCCAAGAGAGCGAAGACAGTACATGCCTTAGACCGCTCGGCTACCGTGACGAATGTGAAACAACGTCATTAAATAACCAAGAAATCTATCTTAAATAAGGTCTTTAATTAACCCAAGTATTATTTACGTTTCACGTTGGGTTATTTGAATTTTGTCTTTCGATGCTACAAACCTCCGCAGTAGATAGAGCGTAGTTAAATAACGTACGGATCGAAAAGACGGGCGGCTGTTGCGCCTGCCCGGCGAACACAGTATGGAGTATATAAAGGTTTGCGGGTACCGAGACGCTCACAGCTTGTCCGTTAGCTCTGTGGGTTGTAGCATCACAGTGGTATCGCGGCGCTTAGCGCAAGTCAGCTGGAGTCCGGTGTGTGTGCGTGTGAAACAGTGGCTCGCGGACCCGCTCTGGTTTCTCTTCTGTCGAAAATAATATTTGGGTTTTCATGTCACGTATCCTTTCCAATATTTTTACAATAACAGGATAACTATGCAGAAACTACTAAATTAACGCTGATATTAGGATTTTTTATGGCTTCGATTTCGTAAGTCAACAATAAAATCATTTGACCCCGTGTCCGAAAGAACGTAAAGTGCAAACGTACTCATAATGTCAGTATTTATAAATAAATGAATTAAACACTAAATGAATCAATTTTTACATTAATATGATATTGCGAGAAGTGAAATTATGAAGTGTTGTTTAAAGCTTTCCCTGGGTTTATGATCGTTACATGTTTCTGATGTAAATCAACAGATTTGGGCCTTTCATCAGGACACTAAACAGATGTTGTCATTTCTGGGCTTGCTGTAACTACGATCGTAAATTAGGTGGTATCCACAAAGAAACAATGTAGTAATTTTGTTTAGAAAATTAAATTCCTAACACAAAGACGTAAAAAATAATTCATTTCAATGAACACAGCATTCATGTACTTATTTGTTCGTAATTTGAATGACGGACTTTCTAATTGTGCGGTGTACAGTCAGCATATAATACTTACATTATCAAATTTACAGACACTTGTAACAAATACATACAAAAATATCTGAAGTGTTTTTTTGTCGAGTAAGGACAGTGAAAGGGACAAACTTGCGCAAGGAAGAGCTGTATATTTTTTGTAACAATAACTGTATATATTTTAATCTCTTATATTTAAAATAATTAGTAATATACGTTTTTAACCAATTTAAAACTTTGCACCGCTGAAAGAAAGACATCGTGAAGAATGCCTTCAACAAACACCTTCTGACATTAGCCCACCATTTCGTCAGTGAACAGTGTTTCTGAAGTAGTAATATATATATTGCTGAAGGATGTTACTGGAAGGAGGTTAATTTATTTGACTGATGAGAGCAGTTCTATGATTACAGTGGCTGAGCGGCATACTGATAATTACAGTTTAGTGGTGATATTTGTCTGATTCTTCAAACTAACAGTTTGGTTCACAAAAGCAAAGAGTGTTGTTATAATTAAATTCTGAATTATGAGCAAGAATTATTTTCTATGTTCTACATCAACCATCTGGCTTAACTAAATAAGGTGATTTTATTTAATACAAGTATCTTTCCATCTTGATAACAGATTATAATTAATTATTACGAAACAATTTAGTAATTTATATACTACATGTTAGTGACTCGGTGTTGCTTCGCAGGCTGATACTTGGTGTATTGACGTCGATTAAAAATATATTTAAGTTACGAATTTGGCATATCAGAACTTTGTAATTATTAAATTTTAAAATAATGCTTCATGTTATTAAACACTATGAAACTCTGGTTTCAGACCCTTAATGTTTTCTTTTTTGATTGTTTCAAATTTTAATTATTAATTTTATTACGAACTTTTTATGAGAACTTTTTAACGAACTGTATTTTGGTGACTGGTTATTAATTTTCTAGAGTAGGTGCTTGTTTCTTACCGCTGTTTGATCCGTATTTACCATAAACTTTGTTAACAAGAACTTGGTTAACAGATGGTACTGAATTATAAAAGGACACTCGACATGAGATAAAAAACTTTATATAAATTACGAACATTAAGGACTTAGAACTTTTAACCAAACCTTAATCTGCAGTAAGTCCCAGTGTATTTGAAGACCTACGCCATACTTCCATCGTCTGTTTTTCCACGAAGAAGTGACGTCACACGGTAAATTAAATCCCTTATGGTTAAGCCAACAGTAGCTGTAGTGCATTTCTGTGCAAAAGTGCCGCTTATGTATGTCACTTGAGGGAAGTGAAGTGTTTTCCGATGGAGTTCATAGGGTTGGGGTGATACACAAGCAGATGGACATCAAGTGGTTACCTTGTTATCAGTGAATACGTGAAAACTGTGCTACCTCAGTGGGTATATATCAGATAATAACTTCCGCTGAAACACGCTGAATAAATATTGACACGAACTCAGGTCATGCATCTGGACGTTTTGTGTTCCTGTGTCAATCAGCTGGACTTTATTGAAGAAAAGAGATGATTGATGTGTCAGACTTTGACTTAGATTTTACGTAATTTCATATCGATTGATGCTTTAAATATTTAACGTTAATTATTTATGTAACTGCTTTAATATTATTAACCATACATTAATGGCATTGATGTTTTAATGTCATAAAATATATGGTACGAATTGCATAAAAATGCAATTTATTCTACAAGATAATTCAAGTGGAACTTAAAGTGTTTGTGCCTTTACATTTTCATACCCTCATAAGACTTACTAAAGACAGAAGTATTAATACAGTTTCCATAACAACTAGATATACTGCAAACGCCACTTGAATGTATGAAAAGAAAATAAGGCTTGAAATCAAATATGGAAATAAGAACAACTTAATACTTTTTTTAATATTGTGATGCTGCGTAGGTTACGTACAAATTCAGAATCATTAACGTAAGCAGATGACATTTTATTATTCGGTTCGTTAAGGGTTTTCTTCAGTGACGAAGATAATAATAAGAATTTTCATATGAGCTGTTTGCTTTAGTACATCAAGGGATTCTCATGAAGGTACCAGGAGCAACACGGACATAACATCTAAAATTTTATAAGGTAAGAAACAGCCGCCGGTCACGGTAGCCGAGCGGTCTAAGGCATGTACCGTGTTCGCTCGCTTGGAAACCGGGATCGTGGGTTCGAATCCCACTCAGTGCATGGATGTTTAGTTTGTGTTCGTGCGTATTTCTGTGTTTGTGTACAGGTAGAGGCCTTGCGACGGCTGATCACCCGCCCAAGGAGTCCTACCGAATGTATAAGATCTAGAAAAATCGAAGTGAGCGGAGAAGTTCATGGAGGTAGGCCTAGGCTAGTTCCAAGATTAGTGGGTCCATTGTCCCCACGGCATGGCGCGTCCTCTGGTTGCGTGTGTAGAAGAGACGGCCTCTGAACACGGAGAGTAATTTGATATGTTGAATAATCAAGCGCCCGCTTCTCGGATAACTGTTTCTCAGAAACCAAAGAGAAATTAACACGGCAAAATTACTTAATGAGGAGCTTCAAACTTACAGCGAGCATTTTGTTATTGTGGTGAAGGTCTGTACTTGTAATCAGCGGGTTCTTTGTTCGAGGATCGGTCGAGACACTTGATATCAGGATTGAAGTGTTTCGTGATTGTGTTCTCAGTTTCTGAAGCCCAATACTGGGGTTGTACCTCGAATAGGCCACGACCGTTATCTCCAAAACCTTTACAATCCACTATTTAACAATCATTCTACCATTTGACAGTACAGAGCTGAGAATACTGACAAATTCCTTTCTGTATAAGAATTATTTCTTTAATGTTGAGGAAATCTGTCTAGAAAACCGAGATTAACGGCCATTGGGATCCATTGCGCTGACCACGTGACACCCTCTATCCGCAAATTTGGCATTAACTTTGCCGACAAGTGGCGGTTGCTCGGTTGGTATAGTTCGCTTGCGGACTACAGGCCACGGAATTTGTTTCTGTTGTTTAATGTTGAGGAAATAACACGTCATAAAGTAATTGTAATGGGTGAATGGGTTCATAAATCTTAACGTTACAACAATAGACACTTGTCTGAGTAACAATACCATAAGTACAATTACAAAACAAATGCATCTGAGACATGATTGTTTATTTCCGCTGTCAATGTCCTATCTTGTAATTGGTTTTTACTTGCTTTTTTCACGTCATAAAATAGGGCTTATAGATTATTTTACCCCCATTATTGCTGTATTGACCCCCAACCAGCTTCTCAGAAATTGCTGACAATCAAAACAAATTCCGTGGGTTTAGACCGCAAGCGAACTATACCGACCGAGCGACCGCCGCTTGTCAGCGAAGTTGGTGCCATCTTTAGCGGATAGAGGGTGTCGCGTGGTCAGCGGAACGAATCCCCACGGCCATTAATTTCGGTTTTCTAGACCGGAACCGCTACATTTCTAATCAAGGAGCTCAGTTATCCTCATGAGGCTGAGTGGACCCCGTTCCAGAGCCACAACTCAGAAAATCTGGTAGTGCCGGGAATCGAATCCGGACCTCTGGATCTGTTGCCATGAACTCTGACCATTAGACCACAGAGGCGGTCCAGAAATGGCTGTCTTACTATTAAATCTTTCAATTATTTGGCTTCGCCACAATTCATCTGATCTGATATAACAATGGGAGATAATTCTGGCAGGTTGTTACTCCCATTGACAGTTATCACAAATTCTAACTGTATTACGCGATAAATATCGGAATTCTCTTTGACAATTCAACGGGAAATTTGGACAGTTTTCATCGCCAACTCCGGTTTCCACGGATATTCATCCCATTAATTCACTTTTACGCATCGTAAACCTTGATGGCAATTCTGATTTCACGATTTCGCTGAATATGCGCCCTATGAACTGTCTGCAAAATTGTGCAAAAATTCGCATAGTAAAAAACATTATAGAGATATGTAAGGTTTGAGGTTTTCACGCCGGTGATTGTGATGAATTCCTTATTCTGGGATGTGGCGTCGTGTAGATCTTGTGTGAACCGACGTTTCGGAGGAACGTATCGCCTCCATCTTCAGGGTAGAAATATCCTCGAGCGATGAACCAGCTTGAGCAGGTGAGCCACATCCCAGGAGATGGCATTCTTCATTTTAGAAGTAATCTTTATGTCTTCCTCCGCTTGAACACTTGTATCGTAGGTTCGAATCCCACTCGAGGCATTTATGTCTGCCTGTGTTGTCCTGTGTGTAGGTAGCGGCCTCTCTACGGGCTGTCCCCTCGTCCTATAACAGCCATAATTTCAAAAATAATTCTGCATGGGAATAGGTCAGGGAGTTTCATCCATCAAGGAAGTAGAAGAAGGTATTTATCAATGAAGTCAATAAGGGTGGAGCTATACCTCCACTCTCCCAATATGTCTTCATGGCATAGTGTTCAATTAATTATGAACAGTGGCAACTTTATCTTTATTAACGATGACACTGTAATACCTACCTAATCACTGCCATATATTTAAAAAATAAATGTTTAAATGTGTTATTTTGTATTTGGGTTTCCGTTGAAAGGACGTAACACTTAGAAGACTAAATTATGATAAACACTTCCCTACTTAGACTAATTATATATAGATTTCCGGCGGTTATGGGCGAAGTGTCAGCAAATTACAACTTCCTCATTTGCTCCTTGATGACATGTCGAGTTCCTTACAATAGACTGACCAATATTATACTTCACATAATGACAATCGATTAGAATAAGAGTGTCATTACTCTCACATTGTCAGTATTTCTCTTATGGCCAGTTACATTTATTTTCGAAGCAACTGCTTGCTGAGAGCGGCTCGAGAAAATTCAGTAGATAATGAATTGTTGTAGATATGCAAACTCTTCTTCACTAACTGGTTATATTTTATTGATATACATATTAAAATCGTCCCTGTACTGAAATATTTAAGCAGTATATCTTGAAGATGGATTGGGGAGTGGAGGTACAGCGCCACTATTCTTGACCTCAGAGTTAGGCAGAGGTGAGTGGTCAGTTTCGCACACTGGCCGCTTTATACCCCGGGAAAAGAGCCCACGGTATTTATTGGATAGGAAGTTGGGTGGACCCCAGAACCGGCCTGGACTCTGTGGAGAAGAAAGAAATCTTGCACAGCCAGGAATCGAACCCGGACTCTCCATCCCGTAACTCGTAACTATACCGACTGAGTTGTCCCGTGGCATACTTTCGTGACGACATAGAAACCAGCGGGCCCGTTTTAAATGAGCTGGAAAATGCTCGTTTTTTTTTCTTAATATTCTCATTTCGTGGGATACGAAGATTCATTACAGCATTCACAAAATCCCGCCCGTGATTCCAATCCTGAGCCAGATCGAAGCTTGACATGTAATTCGATTTATCGATAAAGGAACGGCGTATGTCCGAGTATTAGGGAGAGGTCGTGGAACCGCCGCATTGCATGCCGGGCTGTTGGCTAGAAGTCGGTATGCTTCCGGAAGCCCCTGCGGTCGGCGAAATGTACGCAGATTTTCCTGGTTTTACTCTGCTTTTAATCAAATTCTGAGATGGTTTCCAGGTTGCAAGTTGATACTGCGCGCTTCTCACGTAGGCCTCCCAATTTAAAGGAATCAAAATGAAACCATTTGCACTGAAGATCCTCAAATAGCATTTCCGAAATTATAAAAAAACTCTGGAATAAGCAGAGAATCAAAATTCCGTGACCCTACTGTCTAGCCACTACATGTGATCATTTCAACTCTTTAATTTTGAAACTAGTCTTGCTACAGTGACGAGCGGGCGAAGCCTGGGAATATTCTAAAAAACGATACTCTTTCTGTCTCCATGTAATGATATATTTTTCACTTCTCCCACTACTTTCCCTTTCACCAACTTTCTCTACTACACTTTCTCCTGCTCGCTTTCTCGCGCACAGGCATGGAAAGGGTTAACTGAGCCCTGGATGTACCAATGAGCTCTCCCCTGCCACTTGCGGGTGCAGTAAATACGAAGAGTAAATATGCTTTCTAGGTACCAACATTTGCATTTCAATAAAACTACAGCCTCAATACGTTAATCGGTGTAGCGACGGGCTACGTACTGAACGAGCGGGGTTCGGTTCCCAGTAAGGATAAGATATTCTTCTCTATTCCGCAACGTCCAGACTGGCTCTGGGACCTCCCAGACTCCCATCCAGTGGGTTCCGTGAACTCCTTTCTCGGGGTTAAAGCGGTTCCACTCCCCCGTACATCTTCATAGCGCGGTTCTTAATTAATTAAGAACAGGGACATCTCAACATTTCTTTATCTTCAGTTGTTTATTTACGCTTTAATATCACCAGATCCGAGGTAAACTTTTTAGTTAACGGTAATGCTGGATAATTCATTTAAGATCTGAGGTTTTCATGGCGGTGATCATGAAGAATGTCGTCTTCTGGGATGTGGCTCCATGTAGATCTTGTGTGAACCGACGTTTCGGTGCAGAAGCGTACGCAGTAATAGAGGGCGCATAATGACTCAGAATTAGCCGAAAGTTGACATAGAGTATTTGCACTTTAAAGCACCTGCAGCGTGATGGCTGTAAATAATTGTATTCTCTCTTTCTTTGCAGGTGAGTATAGAAATTGTTTCGCTTTGGGACTCCAATATCGAGGAAATCATCTATACGGTAATGTAAGGTTTCAGAATAATTTATTCTTATATTTTATTCTGAACAAATGTGAAAGGGATAAGACATACTCCATGGAGTACATGTATTTTCAAAATGTTTATGATTGAAGGGAACGAGTTCACTCAGCCTCGTGAGGATAACTGAGGAACTATTTCAAGGAAATAGCGACTCCGGTCTAGAAAACCGAGATTAATGGCCGTAGGGATTCTTTGCGCTGACCACGCGACAGCTCTCTATCCGCTAATGTCGGCACTAACTTTGTCGACAAGCGGCGGTCGCTCGGACGGTATAGTTCGCTTGCGGACTAAAACCACGGAGGTTTTTATGATTGAAGGAAGTATGTTGATTTCATTGAAGCAGAAATTCCAATGTCCAATATAAACAGTTTTCAATAAACTGACACATGAAACGGTAGATGTAACATATGCAATTGAAACAGT